ATACTCAGCTCCATTCAAGAGAATCTTACAGATTAAATTCAGAATGAAACCATATACTTTTTTTTTAAACTAGATATAATTCCAGAATATACCAATAAAAATACCATAATTTATTAAGATACATGCTTATGATTATGAGGATAAACTTTGCACAACACTGGAAAAAACAGCAACGTAGCACCAATGATATCTGATTGGGATCTTAAATTTGGAGAATATGCAGCAGTGGCGAAACTAATAGTATACATACCAAATAAGAGTTTAAGTAAATTCAACAAGAATGGCTTCCATATATATTACACATTACACAGCAGGGTAAATACATACATTTAAAGCATGGTTTTTAAAGTTTACATCAACAGATATTGCAAATCAGTTGGAGAGCAAACAATGGGGATGTCAGAGATCAAATATTTATGTTGTTTTTAGGGATCTTTTTCTTTTCTTTTTAATATTTATAAACAATGGCAGTTTATTATTAGGCTGAAAAATTCATATTTCTTTTGTCCTTTTTAATATTATGAAAACAACTCCATATACTTTACTTGGTGTCTTGTATTAATGTTCTATTGAGCATCAGTTGTATAATTGTAGTAGCTATCTGTTCATCTGTAGACATTAACTTTTTTAAAAAAATACATCTCTGTTTTAAATTTTTTTTAAGAAGGAAAAAATGTGCAAGAATTTTCAAGTTGAGTATATTTCAAACCTGTATTGAGACAGATTTAATCGGGGTAGGCGTATACTGTCTTTTCTACTTAAACTTGTATTAGATTCAGGAGTCTAATCACTGCTAGTCAGAATGAGAATGGGACAGACTTTGCTAAATTTTTGCAAAGCTCCATTTGTTCATCAACCTGATTGGGATATTCTAGGCATAAGTTGGATTTGAGTAAAAAAGACTGCCACTGATAGGCAATTTCCTTTCTAAAATTGTGCCTCCAATTCCAACTGACCTGGAAACATTCTGGATTTGCTAATGTATATTTGTTACAGTGGGGTTGCAGGGGCAATGTAGGTCCCCCTTGCATTTCATTGTAATTCTTGAATCTATGATGTAGCATATGCTGTGTGTACAAGGCTAATTTTGAAAGAGTTTGGTTTGTCGTTTGAGTCATAGGAACTTATAACACGAATATCAGCTTGATAATTTCTTCCCCCCACCCTCCCATGATACCTTTTTTCCTCCTCCTTATATTTCAGGTATTGTATCAAGATCTGGCACTTTGACATATGAAGCTGTTCATCAAACAACTCAAGTTGGACTGGGACAATCCTTCTGTGTTGGTGGGTTTGAGAGAGGCTCAGTTCATGTGTAAGACAACACATATGATTGTAGAAACTACATGGACACGCTTCTCCTGTTCCCTTCTATCTTAAATGTGTATTTTGAAAACTGCTGAGAATTAATGCTGAAAGGAAAAAAAATAGCAATGTCGGGGGGAATTCTGGTGATTGGGAGTGAACTATGCATTGCCCACAGTTGCATTCACGAAATATTCTGAGTATCTTTCTTTACTCACAAGGTAATAGCATGACAGTGGAAGAATGGGTATCCTACTGAGTTGACTTTATGATGAAGTTATGCAGTGATGTCTGAAGCCAGTTCAGAGGAAGGGCAATGTAAAAATTGAAGGGCTTCATAGAGTTTGTTCCTGGTGCCTCTTCTTCTGAATAAAAAATGCTTATTAGCAATCCCAACCCTGTGAAGGTTTGTAGGATTTCTGAAGCCGCTTTGCAGATAGATGCCTGTTTCTCCTGTGTGTAACCTGCTACCATGCAAAACTGCCCATGTGGGAATGGGGTGCTGTGACTGCCTTCTATTTATAGTACCAGTAAAGGCAGGGGTATATCATATTAAGTGTAGTTCCTACATTCCTCAGCGTGGTGGTAAGACAGAGAGTAGGCTCCCTAACGTTCATGCAAAACGGTCTTGAGTCGATAAAATAAAAGTTTAACAAAGTATCAATTTATATTGTAATGGATTTTGCAATTCCAGTAATAGGCTTCTGGCAGCCATCAGCTGAGGTGATAAAGCCGTATAATGTATGATTAAGTTTTCTAAATAAATTGTCAGCAACGGAACGTTTGAATAGTTCAGTTCTGCAGGTTCGAGTGAAAGGTTAATCTGGCTGTGAAAACAATGAATTAATGAATTCTCTCAGTTTTATTAGGTAATTCTTCTGGTATCCTTTGGGTTCCATTCTGTTTCAGCTCTGGCTGGATTTTAAATTGTCTAGACATTTTTTATACATGCACCCCAAATTAACCTCACTGTACAAATAACATACATGCCTTCTACTTGCTAGAAACTGCTGGGGAGCAGCAAGGGAAAAAGGGCTCTCTCACTCCTGCATGAAAGATTTCCCTTCTGTATGATGATTGGGAATGTGTGTGTTGCATGTTTTTGTTTTGCTAAGCCAGAAGGATTGGTAATTCCTTGAAAAAGAGCAGTGGAAAGTCACAATACTTACTTAACGCTCAGTCGCTATTAGCACCTTCACAGCAGTTGGACTTCCTTTTATTAAAGGAAGACAAAGGGGAGTCTTAAGGATCAGCAGAGCAGCCTCTGAAAGCACAATATTGCCCTTTCATGCCTTTTTTTTTTCTTTAAGGGATTGGAGGAGACCCATTTAATGGGACAAATTTTATTGACTGTCTGGATGTCTTCCTGAAGGATCCCCACACTAAAGGGATAATATTGATAGGGGAGATTGGTGGAAATGCTGAAGAAGATGCTGCAGCCTTCCTTAGAAAACATAATTCTGTAAGTTTAAATGTTCTAAGAATGTCTTGCTGATGTGGAAATATCCTGATTTTGAAAAGGAGGTGGAAAAAGTTGCTCCTTTAAAAGCTTTCTAAAGCTGTTGGATTGGATCCAAATATGTCTTTCCATTTAGGGAGATTTTTGGACCCCTGCATAGAATGATGCCTGAAAAAGGTGAAATTCAGTCTGGAAATATTCTTTCTTGCACACAATTTTCTGGAGGATAAGAAGACAGTCTTTCCTTATTTCCTTATTTGATGCCTCTTTCTTTCTTTTTCTTGTTCCCATCTGAGTTTGTTTTCTCTGCCATCTTTGTTCTTTTGTTTTGTGTGTTTTTGTGTTTTTGTATTGTTCCTTGTTTTTAAATGTTTTTAACAATTTGTAAACTGTCCAGAGCTGCTTGAAGGATGATGATGATGGTGGTGGTGGTGGTGGTGGTGGTTGGTCACACAGTCAGCCGGATGTTTAGACTGGATTGGCATTTTTATCCACCTATCGAATCCTTCCCAAGGACCTGGGATAGGCAGGTGTTGTTAGATGGTATTAAAGGTATCCTTGCAAGATGGAAGCTGTTCCAAGTAAAACTG